GGGAGAGGAGGGGCAGACACCAATCTCTGCTCCCTGGGACAGGGACAGGAGCCAGGGAACGGCTGGAGCTGTGTCAGGCTCAGGCTGGAGCTCAGGGCAAGGTTCTTCCCCCAGAGGGTGCTGGGCACTGCCCAGGCTCCCCAGGGAATGGGCACGGCCCCGAGGCTGCCAGAGCTCCAGGAGCGTTTGGACAGCGCTGCCAGGGATGGACAGGCTGGGATTGTTGGGGGGTCTGGGCAGGGACAGGGGCTGGATCCTGGTGGGTCCCTTCCAGCTCAGCTTATTCTGTGATCCTGTAATAGATCAGGTGTGAAAAGCTGCTTTAAGTCACACCCAGCAGCACCTGGCAGCCCCTACATGTCCTGGTGAGTCAATGCAGCCCCTGGGTTTGTCACTTGGGAATTATTGAGGACAGAGAATGATTAGAGGAAAATCAGTACATGAAGAGGACAGGTCTTGATCCCTGGTGCTGCTCAGCTGTTTGGATCTGGTGAGGCACTTGGTGGATTGGGATGTGCTGGAGGTGCTGTGGGATGGCAGCAGGGCAGGGATGGAGCCCAGCTTGTGCTTCAGCACTTGCCATCCCATCCTGCTCCTCAAGGGCAGAGCAGGGATGGCAACTCTGGCAGGAGCCCTGGGTTTGGGAGATGGGAGCCACTCACAGGGAAGGGAGATGGGCTCAGTCCTTCTCAGCCCCCTCTTCTGGGCTGCTGTGATGGGGATCAAATGCTGACTTGGATTCTCTCTGCTGGAATATAATTATTGGATGATTTGATTATTTTAATGCCTTGAACAATTACTTTTTCCTGACTGTTACAAGATGAGGATTTGGATTGCCAAAGAGGTTTCAGTTTAAAAGGTGTAAACACCCTACTTATCACTTTGGCTTTGGCTCATCAAGCAAGCAGCAAATGTAATAATGGGTGGAGAAGAGAAAAGCCGAAGTAAGGAGATTCCTTCTGAAGCTGAGGATGCAGATTAACCCCTGGAGACATCCAGAGAGGTCCCAGGTGTGTGAGAAGCCTTTGGCTCTCTGCTCTGCCATTATTACTGCCTTGCAGACTTTCTCATCTCCTTTTCAGAGGTGAGGTGGCTGCTGACTTGCCATTGCTCATGTTGTAGGTTGGGTTCTATAAATCAATTTCGTTATTTTTAAATAAATCTCTGTATATGGGAGCTCTTTGGTTGCTGGTCTGGGTGCAGCCTGAGTCCTGACAGCCTGACACAAGATTGACTTCCCTTTTCTAAGTGAGATCTTCATGACTTCTCAGATTTACGCTTTATTAGGCAATATTTGCCCAGGCTTTTCTTTCCTGGATATTCTATTACTCATTACTGTTCAAATCCTAGCAAATAAATAAATGATTTTTGCTATGGCAACAAGAACCTATTGGTTGAAGAGCACAATATTTCCTGAAAAGCCTGCTTTACTCTTTCCAGTGTGTCTGATTGCCGGGCAGAGTATTTATATATTTTTTATATATTTATATATATATGTATATATGGGTTTGGGTTGGACCCTGGGTTTGTGACAGCTATGGGTGAAGCCTCCAGCTGAACAAAGAGTGACAAATCCCTGCAAACATCCACAGCTGAAGGGTGCAGAATTCTTCCTTGCCACAACTGGCAGCTGCTGCTGGGGCAGGACCAGGGGAAGCAGTGCTGAGACAGGCTGAGCAGAGGCCCCTGGCTGGGCTCCAGCCAGCTTGGCTCTGCTGGGACACACTTTTCTTCTAAAGAAACGTCCCCTGTTGCCTTTTGTGTTCCCATAAAGGTCTGTGGTCTGGCAAGGCACTGCTGGCTGTGCAAACCTGTTGTCTGTGCCATGACTGGGCTCTTGGTTTTCCTTTCTAGCTGGTTCCTGGGACTGAAGCTGCCTGTGCTCCTTGCACACAGCACTCACTTGTGCTCTGTAGCCACTCACAGCATTTCTCTGCCTTTCTCTGCCCCGTGTGTCCCCTGGGTTTGCCTGAATGCTTCACCCTCCCTGTTCTGTTGGGTCAAGCAGAGCTGCTTTGTGCTTCCCTGAAACCCCATTGTGCTTAGAGAGGGGAGCTCTGGTACTGCCACAGCAGGTTTTGGGGTTTGGGGCTCTCTCCCCACAGGCAGGGCTGACTGAGTGCCCCAGGGTCCATCCTGTGCCAGTGCCTGGTTGTGCCTCGTGTTTGCTCTGCCTGGGTGTGCCCAGGGCTTCATTGCAGCAGCCTTGGGGCTCTGCTGGGAGCAGGGGCTGGGATCTGCTGTAGGGCAGCTCGGTGTGGTTTGGGGAGCTGGTGTCACCGTGTCCCTGTGCCACACACCACTGCCTGTGTGAGCCTTGCAGGTGATCCTGGCCCCAGCTGTGCCCTGGGTGCCAGGGCTGACTCTGTGTGAAGGGCTCCAGCATTGCCCCCTGCCTGAATTGGCTGTGGAGAGTGGGAGATGTTGAGTTTGGGGCTGTTGGTGCTGTCTCTGGGCTCTGTGTGGGGTGTGGGTGTCTCCAGGCCATTTCTGCTCCATTCTGCTCTTTGGATTTCTCCCTGATGAGGCTGTTTTCTCCTCCTGCACTGCATGCACCTTTGGTCCAAACTGGACTCAAAGTCATTTTTCTTAGCGATTTCCTCCAGATAGGAGAAAACCAGGAACATTTAGCTCTGTCTCCCAAGCTTAAATTCGAACCCCCAAGGCATATCTCTCCTGTCTGCTTTGTTTTCCATGTTTAGCCAAGTACTTCTTGCCCTTCAGTGCCATTGGCACTGGTAAGTGGCTTGTGTGCAGTTTCTGGTTCTGGGATAGCTCCTGGAGCCCTGGGCACGTCCACCCTCGTGGCCTCTGTGCTATGTCCACCCTCGTGGCCTCTGTGCCTGGCAGTGTGGCTCATCCCCACAGGACAGACACCACATTGTGAGCAGTGACAGCCTGGCTCGGATCAGGGAGCATCTAGGTCAGCAGCAGGGATGGGAAAATCAGGGAGCAGCAAGTGGGATGCTCTCAGCTTCAGGACCATTTAATTCCAACCCCTTTTCTCTGAAATAGAATCACTCTTCTCCTCGTGTGTCATTTGGGGTGACTCAGAGTGGCTGGGGCTGGGGCAGAGAATGGGGAAAGGCAGCTGGTTCCCTCCATGCAGTTTCCACCCTGCCTTCTCCTGGGAGCAGGGAAGGGAGCCAGCCTGTGTCCAAGGTCCATCCTGCCCTGGGGCAGTGACACAGAGCTCCAGCTGTGGGTTTGCAGTGTGGAGGAGCTGCAGCTGCTCCCTCTGTTACCCAGATTCGAACTAAGCTCCCCTCCTGCTTTGCTAAAAAGCAGCAGTGAAATGCTCCCTGTCCTGCTCTGATCCCTGCAGAGCTCCAGGGCCCCTGTGCATGGGCAGCACAGGTGACTTGCTGGCAGCTCTGGCCCTTGGGGACATCCAGGTGTGACATTGACAGCCCCTAACAGTGTCACTCCAGTGCTCTGACTGCTGCTGTGACAGGGAATGGGTGCACCTGGGCAGTGTGGTACTTGAGGGCTGCTTGGGGCCAGGTGCCACTTGCCAGCCTCTGGGGATTTTCTGTATGACAGAAATATGGGATAAATGTGCTGAACTTGCCCCTGGCCAGTCATTACAGAGTATCTGGAGAGATTAGAACCATCGGGCTCCTGCCACCTGTCACAAGCTGCCACGTCCTTTCCATTCTGTTCATAACCCCATTAGCTGAATTTTAATTGTATTTAGAAGTAAAGGGATCACAACACCCTTTTAGACAGCTGCTCCTGAACCTTGAACTGTGTTGGCTAAATACTTCCCTAGTTTTGGCATGAACATACTCCTGGCAAGCTTATCCTCCTTGTTTGTCTGCTGGCATCAGCGGTTCTCTGCTCCTTGGTGGTTATTTTCTGGAGTACTTACAAAGAGCTGTTATGCTTTTTTCCAACTTCACTTTTGCTGGTGTGAAGTTTTTGCCAGTGAATCTCCTCTGCACCTGTTGAGGTGAGCTGTAACCAGATCCCTGGAGCACAGCAGTAGATAATGATTAGTTCAGGTAGGGCTGCAAGGGAACAAAAACCTTCCCTCAGCTTTTCTTTTCAGCTTGGACAAGCACATCTGGAGTTACTTCCATCATCTGCTAGTGTTAGAGGTAGGAGAGAGCCAGGCAGTCCCTATTTCCAGCAGAAATGCCTTCCTTCATTCCTGCTTTATTTAAGCAGCATTGTAATGATGATTACAGTTCTGTAGCCAATCCCAAATTTTCTTCCTCAGGTATTCACAGGTGATGAACTTCTCTTAGTGCAAGGTTTGCTCTTAAACAGGATTCCATTTTTAGTGTTTTTGCTCTCTAGTTTTCTTCATGATCATAAAATTCTGGTTAGCCCTTGATGAACTCTTGTGTTTGAGTCACTTTCATTTCTCAGTCTCCTAGTTACTGTGGAAAGGTCCTTAGTGACAATACTAGATAAAATTGGTTTCAAACCAGAACCTTTAAGGCCTCCCCCTTGTCAAGTATTTTCCCTGTCTGCTACCAGCTGTTACCATCTTTCCTTTAGCTGCCTCCTTCTTCTCACTCCTGGTTTTAAGCCCCGTTTAATGCAGCTTAAATAGGTCTTTGCCAAAATGTCCTCTCAAGCCTGGAGTCCTGATCATGGATGTTTCTGTTTTCTGGAGCTTGGATACACAAAGGAGTTGCCAGGAATTAGCAGTGCCACCTTTCCAACATGTGGGTGCTTTCCTGCTTGTGTCTCCCATGAGAAGCATGGTGCCGTGGTGGCAGCTCCCCAGTGTGAGGTGCTGGCAGAGGGCACAGAGATACTCCAGCCCCCTGGGCTCCTGCCTCCATGCCATCCATTTGGCTCTGCCTTTGGGGTTTCCCTCAGCGTGGCAAGAGATCCACCAAGGCACTTGGGGAGGGACTGGGGGATCTGCAGTGGCTGCTTTAAACCAGGGGCAGCCCTGGCATGTGCAGTGGTCTGTACCAGAGCCAGCGTGGGGATCAGTGGGTTCTTGTGCTTCTCTCTGATAATTCTCCTTTGCTGTTGCCCAGATGAAGATCTCTTTCAACGAGACAAGTTTGCAGACCATGTTTGAGTACCCCTCAGAGAGCTCCCTGGCGGAAGAAGATGAGGAAGAGGAAGGACATGCTTCTGAAACAGAGGAGGAAAAATCTCGTACCTTTTACATTCCACGCCCAAACAGCACTTTGCATCCCAGTACTCCTAACTCAGGTGAGTGGGGCACTGTGTTGGGACCGTGGGGTTTCTGGTGGTGTCTGACACTGCCCACATTTCCCACAGACTCTTAAGGGCTCCCATGGGTGGAAATGCTAATGGAGCTGAACAGGGAGCTGCAGTTGGGCAGTTTCCAGACTGTCTCTGCTGGGAGCCTGGTCCCACTTTGTTTTGGGGTGGTGAGGAATATTTACCTCATGTTTCTCCTTCCAGCAGATTTATCCAGCTACACCCCAAAGCACTCCGTGAAGTTCAGCGAGTGGCAGGAGCAGAAGTATGAGGGTCCTGCTGCAGAGGGGCCCCTCCCAAAGGAAGCTGATTCCCATGGGAACCAAGTCATGGTGAGGCTATAAATAAGCAACTCTTGTGCTCTCTTGTGGGGATGGGACAGGATATGCTTTTCCCTGCACACCTGTGTTTGTGTTCCTGCCCAGAGAGCTGTCACTGCTCCCAAAGGGACCAACACACCATCCCACTGCCACCACCACACCTGCCCCTCCCCAGCTGGGTGAAGGAGACTCAAGGCAGCTGGCACACCCTGTGCTCAGCACAGGAAAGATGGATCTGTTGGAACAAGTCCAAAAGAGGCCATGGAGATGCTCCGAGGGCTGGAGCCCCTCTGCTCTGGAGCCAGCCTGGGAGAGCTGGGGGTGCTCACCTGGGAAGAGAAAGGCTCCAGGGAGAGCTCAGAGCCCCTTCCAGTACCTAAAAACTGCTTATAAAAAACAGGGAGGGTTGTTTTTTTTTTTTTTTAAACATGAGCAGGTGATAGGATAAGGGGGAACAGTTTTAAAGTAAAAGATATTTAGATTAGATATTGGGAATAAATAGTTCCTTCTGATGGCAGTGAAGTCTTGGCACAGGGTAGCTGGTAGCTGCCCCTGGATCCCTGGCAGTGTCCAAGGCCAGGTTGGATGGGGTTTGGATGGGATAATGGAATGTGCCCCTGCCCCTTGGTGGGAGGTTGGAGCAAGATGGGTTTTAAGATCCCTTCCAACCCAAACCATTGCAGGACTTTCTATACTCCAGGGCACGTTTGGAGGGGGGGGGGTAACTAAACACACGCAGTTATCCCGGGCAGGGTGCCAAGGCACCACCCAAGGGTGAGGGGGCTCCTCTGGGCCGGCTCTGACGGCAGCGCGGTGTCCCTGTGCTCTGCCCACAGCTCACCCCTGCGGAGAAGGGCGGGCTCTCGGATTTCAGCAGCGAGCCCGCGCTCTATTTCTGAGGCTGCTCCGCGGTGCTGCAGCAGCGGCTGCTGGGCAGGATGGGGCAGTGCAGCCGCTCTGGGCACACGGGAACCGCCACCGAAACGGCCCCAAAGCGCGGCCGTGCCCGCATCCTGCTGCCAAGGATGGACCAGACGCTCTCGGGCATCTTCGGAGAATATTTGCACTGGATTTTGGGACCGAATTACTGCTTTCAAGGCGTATGATTGATTCTGCCTGTGGCCTTGCATATTCCTTGTTCAAGATCAGCTGCCAGTTAGGCAAATGTGGGAAGGACATCTGGAATCCCGGGATGGATGTTGTGATTTTTCTCAGTGCCTGTCTGAGTCCAGGCACTGTGCAGAGTCTGCACAGCTCTTGCAACCCTTCTCCCCAGTGGAGAAATGGAGCACTGGGCAGTTAGGTGGGTTCACAGCGTGGCTGTGATTTGACACATTGGGTATCAGTTTGGAAAACCACTGAAGGTTCATGATTTGTCCTTGGCATGTTTCCAGCTCTGGTTTCACTGAAACATCGTGGAATCCATGTGCCAGTTCCATGCTTATGGAGTTCACTGAACACCCTGAGGGAGGGATGGGAAGAGCAATGAATGCCTTTAGCTTTAGGTGTTATTTTTGCACCAATCAATAGAGAAATGTCCAGACTGCCTCGAGCTTCTTGAAGATTCCCAAACATTGGCCATAACTTTGGTCTGTCCTTCCCAACTCTGGCATCCAGTCTCTGGGAATTGCTGGTTATGCTCCACTTTGCCAGCTCCTCTTGTTGCTTTACTCCAGATCTGATTGATCTCTTTTTTGCTCCCTTCAAGCCACACTCTGTTCCTCTAATCAAAGCACGGGAGGGCAGTTTCACTCCTTTCTTCTGCAGAACTTGAACAAGGAATGTGGATTATTTTTGTTTTTTCTAGCATTTTTATAGTTCTATTGTAATTGTTTAATGCAGCCAATATGCAAAGGAATCTGCTAGAATCTTCCATTCAAGTTTTCTACTACTGTAAACTCAGGGTCAAAATTGCACTCTGGAACAGATGGAGCAGTGCTGCTAATGTGATTTGTACTTTGGGATTAAAAGAGATGTGGTGAGAACAAGTCTGGCCTCTTTGGGATTTATGGAATGAGTGGTACCCCAATGTGGGGCATGATCCAAAGGAACAGGCTGGTATCTTTGATTAAATTTGATGGTTACTGGTTTGTCTGTTATAGATGATGAATGTTTGTTCAAGTGACACTGGTCTGTGAACTGAAAATGCTCTGCATACCTTGCACTTGGCTTGGTGTCTGTAGTTGCAGCAAGGGAAAGTTGTTCTGCTGAAAAACACAGGAATAAATGTTAGAACATACCTACTTGTAGCTTCCCTTCTGCCCTGGGTGCCTAAATACTTATGGAAAGATAATGCAAAAAAAAAAAATTAGCTACTCAGTAGTTTGTTAAATGTTGGCTGGGGGGCCACAAAGAAACATTTTTCACCTCCTTGTCTGTTCCAAGCTAATTTGAGATCTGCTGCCTGTGTGACTTGCTGGGAGCAAGATGTGTCTGCAGTGCATCTGCCTGGGACATGACACAAGAACCATGGAGTTCCATGTGTTGAGGCTTCTCATTAATGAAATACTTCAGGATAAGGTGCTGAGACTGGGGTAGAATCAGGGGAAATGTGAGACTGTTGGTGACTGCTGGATTTAAGGGGTGACTTTCCAGCAGAAAAGGTCCCAGTGAGCGTGGAAAAGCCCAGGCCAGTTTAAGGCAGCTCTGTTCCTAGCACAACTGCAGGTGGTAAAGCAAAGCTGCTTTCAACTCAAGTTAGGGACAAGGGGTCTGAGCTAGCCCTGGCTTGGTTCTCCTGTGGATCCATGAGGAGTGCTAAAGCCACCACTGTCTTGCAGCTCAAACACTGCTGTGGTTCTGTGTGAGTTCACTCTGTGCCTGTGTGGGCAGGATAGCTGGGGGAGTGCAGTGTGCTGCTGGCTCTCTGCGCCTTCTCCCGGCGATCCTGCTCCACGCTGGAGCTGATTCACACCTCACTGAGCACTCCTTTGCACTTCCCAGCTTCGTGCTCTAATCCCTGCCCAGGTACTCGGGCTGCCTCCAGGCAGAGCAGGGTGAGGGCAGGAGCATCAGGTGATGGGTCACCTCCTGGGCTGTGCCTCAGGATCGCTGTGCTCAAAATGAAGGGTGTGTTTTTGTCAACTCCTACCCTGATCTGTAGCATTCGAGGGTCAGCTTTAGTGGATCTCTGACTAATACCAAAGCACATCTGAAAGGAAAATCTACTTCTGCAAGACAAAAGCTTTTATTAAATGTTGCATCCTTGTACCACACCAGCAGCTCTCTCTGGCCAGCAGGACTTTCCAGGCTGAAGAAGAAGTTTAGGAACGCTTTTGTCGACGTAGTCGTCCTAATGAAGCACTGTGTGGCTCGATGGCTTTACCAAGATCCCCCATTTCCTCCTTCAGCACATCTAGCAGTGTCTGAGAATTGTCCAGTATCTGGGAAAGAAATAAAAATAGCTTATTTTTACATAAACTGTTTCTCATGAATTCCCTTTCAATTCAGTTGATCTGCCTTGCAGCAAGAGGGGTTCTCGAGCCCTTCAGCCTCTAATTCCTGATGATTTATTATACTGTCTCACTGTGGGAATATCTGTGGGAGAATTTCTCTGGTTTGTGTTCATATTCTGAATATGAAAGGCCTTAAGCAATTTGTCTGCCTTGGACTACGATGCAGAGAACTTCCTGAAGCAGACTGGGATGTTTCTGGTTGGTTTGGTGGGGCATTTTTAAGGGAGATTTGGTACCTGGGCTTTTTAGATCAATATTAAATTATGCTCAGCTGACCCAGTTTCAACTCTTTTCCACTGTTAAAACTGCACATTTTGGGTTTCTGGCTTCAAGACTAACTCAAATCTACAGTGACCTTATGTCAGACTGTTAGATCTGTTAATAATTTTCTCCTACTTTAGCTCACTGTGTACATAATCTAACATCCCTGCTTCCTGTGCTTTAGGCTACCACATATTGAGGAGACCTTGCTGCCTGTCCATCTCACCAGTTAAAAATTTTAACACAGTAACAATTTTAACACAGTAATTTTAACAATTGTAACCAAATGTGATGGTTATACTCCCAAAAATAATTTCTGTTCCTGTTGAGTTTGTGTAAATCACCAAGTGATCAGAGAGGAGCTGAGAAAGTGCCCCACAGGATGAGGTGCTGGAGGAAGGTGAAATCCTGTGGGGGCTGGCAGAAGGCAAGGAGTGACAAACCAGGGATGTACATCCACAGGAAAGGAACTCTGTTACTTTCTGTCTGTAGAACACCAGCATCTCCTCCTCTTTCTACCTCCTGTGAGTGTCAGTTCATTTCAATAAACAGGAATTCGTCTGTAGCCTGAGGGTGTGACTTGGATCTCAGGTAAGGTTTCTTTTTAAAGGGGCTGTTTTTGTACCTTGCAGCATAGTTTTAAAACTTTTAAATTTTTATATGAGTTTCCCCCTTTACTTCAAGCCACCTGGTCTTAAAGGAGGTTGAGGAAACAGCTCCAACTTAATCTGAAAAGTGATTACCAGGGGAATGCACTGACTTTGAGAGAGGAAGAGGAACTTAAACAATAGTTGGTCACATTCAAAAAGGCAAATGGGAGGAGAATTTAGGCAGCAGCTAATAGGAGAAAGGTGTTTCTGACACAAGCTCTGCCCAGTCACCAAGAGAAGGAAGATTGTCACCTATCTGAAAAGATGTTGGGAAGATCCTTTAAAAAAAAAAAAAAAAAACAAAAGCTCTTGGTGTGTAATACAGAAGTGACTTCAGCTGTGCCTCTGTCTGTGGGGATCAAGCAGTCCCTGCCTGGCAATAACACACACAGGGAAGGTGAAAGGGTAAAGCTGCTCCAGGAATCAAATGACGGTACCAGCCCTCATGCTGTTTGCCTCCTTCCCACCCTTTACTGCTGCAACAATTCGACTCTTTAAATGACATTGTTCCCTTAAAGATGAAAGAAATAACGCTAAACATTGGACAGGAAGAGTGGCAGGCCAGCAGCTCCATCAACACCATCGTTCTCTACCTGAATTAGTATGATTGTGGGACATGGTCTCTGGTTTCCTCCTTTCCTCCAAACCATGGGTCTGAGATGGTAATTTTTAAAGGTCTGTTTTCAAAAGCCATTTTTGATGTATTTTGACAATAAACTTTGCCCAAGCCCAAGAAGCTTCAAAACAGCCCCCAATACAACCCTCTTGTGATGGGGTCTGTGTGCCAGAGCTGTATCCTAGGACTGGAAGTTGTTTGCCTGCAGTGCTATGACCCAGAGAGGTGCTTCCAATCGACCTTCAGGTAAATATAGACCCATAAACATATACAGATACACATCTATATCTATCTCCTAAATCTCCCCTGAAACAGTATTAGGTTGGAGCTCAGGGCAAGGTTCTTCCCCCAGAGGGTGCTGGGCACTGCCCAGGCTCCCCAGGGAATGGGCACGGCCCCGAGGCTGCCAGAGCTCCAGGAGCGTTTGGACAGCGCTGCCAGGGATGGACAGGCTGGGATTGTTGGGGGGTCTGGGCAGGGACAGGGGCTGCCCTGGGTGATCCTTGTCCACCTCAGGTTATTCTGATTCAGTTATTCCCAGCAAAGCTCGCTGCCGTCCCTCCTCATCCCCTCACGAGGAAGCTGCACACTGCGATGTCCCCTCCTCTGCTCCAGGCACCGAGCGCCCTCAGCGCTGCTCGCTGTCAGTACCTGCCCGGAGGCCGCGTCCATCTCAGCGATGGTGCGGTCGATGTGTGCTCGGGCGGACCGGAGCCCCGCCAGGCTCTCACTGGTTTCGGACAAGCGCCGGGAGAGCGTCGCGATCCGCGCCTGCAGCCGGCCCCGCTCCGCCTCCTCGTCCCGGATCCGCCCGCTCAGCTCGTCCCGCCGGGCGCGGAGCTCCGACAGCCCTGCGGGGCGGCACCGTCAGAGGGGCCCGCGCAGCCTGCCCGGCCCTGCCCGGCCCCGCTCGGCCCCCGGCCCCGCTCACCCTCCCGCAGCGCCGCGTGGTGCCCCCGCAGCGCGGCCCCGGTGCCGCTCATCGCCGCGGCCGGCGCCGCTCCGCCCCTTCCTGCGGCCCGAATGGAGCTCTCGGCTGCCTGGCACACGCTCAGCACCGCGCTGGTGCCGCCCGCCGCGCTGGGGCTGGTGAGCGGGCACCGCGCGGGCCCTCCCGGGTCGTTGCGCTCCGCCGGGCCCGGGGCAGGCCCGACCCGCCGGCCCCGGGATGCTCCGGCCTCGGCTCCTCCGCGGCCAGGCCTCTCCGGCTCTGGGTCCGCGGGGCGGGTGGGAACGGCCGGGGCCGGGGGGAACCGGCAGGAGCTGAGGGAGGAGCTGCCGGCGCTGGGGGAACAACGGCCGGGGCTGAGGGAGAAACGGCCGGGGCTGGAGGAGGAACGGCCAAGGCTGGGGGAACAACGGCCGGGGCTGAGGGAGAAACGGCCGGGGCCGGGGGAGGAACGGCCAAGGCTGGGGGAACAACGGCCGGGGCCGGGCGAGGAACGGCCAAGGCTGGGGGAACAACGGCCGGGGCCGGAGGAGGAACGGCCGGGGCCTGGGAGGTGGGGAAGGGGCTCCTGGGTGTGGTGACTGCTGGGGGCTGTCAGGGAAGGGCCGCGGGTCCAGCCGCCCTCTCTCCCTAACACCCCATCCAGGAGCGGGATTAAAAGGCGACCACTTGCCTGGCCGAACTGTGCCTCTGCTTCCTGTCCGTCTGAGGGAGCTGGTGGCCAAGGAAGGTTTTTGCTCCAGAGCTCGGCATTTTGGGCACCCAAGGGTGGCTCGTAGCATTCCCATCAGCACTTGTGTCCTGCAGCAGCCACCAGCAGGGACAGCAATGATGTGTGTTGGTGTGAGGCCTGAGCTTCCATCGGTGGGCTGAGACCCCGGCAGGTCGCCATGGAAGAGCAGCATTCCCCCAGTGCAGTCTGACAGCAGAGTCCCTGTGCGCTCTGTCAAATGCTTAACTCGTGTTCTCTCTGCTTTCCAGGCAGCCCCGAGGCCCGAGGCTGCGGGGCCGCTGCAGGATGCCGAGCTCCGGGCAGCCCTGGACGTGCTGCGGTGCTATGACTTGCACTCCATCGTGGAGGAGTGGTTCATCGAGGTGCTGCAGACTGACCTGCAGGCGAATATCGCCCCCGAGTTCTGGAACTGCATTGGCCAATATGAGAGCACGGCCGAGGAGCCCCAGTGCGCCGCGCTGCTCCTGGATGCATTCAGTCTGCTCAAGTGCCACCTGGAGCCCTACATGAACAGCCTGGAGCTCCTGGAGCAGTGGACCAAGGCAGGCCTGCTCCTGGGCACAGGTGCTCAGACACTGCAGGAGAAGGTCTACACCATGTTCAAAGCTATCCTTTTCTTCTCCACGACCAAATCGTTCCAGGAGATGATCCAGCAGTTCTACAGCCGTACATTCAGGATATACATGCGGCAATGGAAGAAAGGAGAAGATGGAACGAACGAGTGTGAGAGCAGCATGAGTGAGACCGAGCAGGAGAGTGACCCAGAGGAGGGTGGAGGAGAGGGCCAGCTCTGTGCAGGCTGCAGCAGCAAGAGGGAGCAGTGCTGGTGCCCTGAAGCCATGGAGCAGTTCCAGCAGCTCAATGACATTCTGTAGGTGTCTCACGGGGTGGTGGCTGTCACTCAGAGCAAGGGAGGGTCTGGGGGCAGCAGCAGGTTTTATTGATCCCTGAGAACAGGAGGAGCTGTGTGAGGTCAGGCTGTGTCATGGTGGCGGGTAGAAAACTCAGCATGGACTTGGTGGTTGAACAAGAGCACATCTTTAGACAGAAAGTTCCTCTTCCTGGATATGGGAGTATCGGAGTATCCTCCTCTTACTCTGAGGCCTCTGACCACAAAGAAGCAAACCAGTGCAAGGTTTCCCTACCCTTGTCAGGGGTTTGGACTAGATGATTTTTAAGGTCTCTTCCACCCCAAACCATTCTCTGATTCTATGAAACTCTTCTAAATGAAAAAGCTTTCGATGGCTATAAATGTCTGTAAGGAAGATGTGATAGCAGTAGTGCCATGTGTTACATATGTATGCATCTGTGTGGGCTATCAGAGCCTGTGGCCTGAGCTGGGCCTGCCTCTGTGGAATATAGAGGGAGGGTGGTGCCTTCATGTGTAAGATTTTCTTGGTTTGCTGGTGCCTTTGCTCCCACACGCTCCTGACGGTGTCCCTGTGCCCGCAGCCGCCGGCTGAACTTGCTGGAGAGGGTGAGTGCTGACGCCGTCACCACCATCTTGCACAGGATGATCGAGGAGAGGATGGAGCAGCGCTGCCGTGGGGAGTACGAGCACTCCTTCCTCAACGAGTTCCAGGAGGTAAGGCAGGTGTAGGGCAGTGAGAGTCCTCCTTGGGAGATGCGCAGCTCTTGTTGTTTTTTAGCAGCTCAGGCTAAAAGCAGATTCCAGCTTGAAATGCCTGGTCCAGGGCTGTGACTTCCACCACGCCTGGCAGGAGAGGTGGCTAAAACTCCCCATTTTGGCTGATGCTGGACGGGCAGGTTTGCTCTGACCTGTGCATGAGGGACTGTCACATTTCACCTCATGATGTCTGTAGTGATGAGGGAATTTCTGTGGTTCCAGTTTACAAACTACAAGATCAAGAAGTGCCACCTGGCCTGCAGAGGGCCTCCCTCTGTGTAAGTGAGCCTATAATGAGAATTTCTGTGACTATTTCTAGTCCTCTTCCTAACTCCTCTGTAAAACTGGAAGTGAGGATGAGAGAGGATACTCTGGTATTGATCTCACCAGTGACCACACAGAGAATTAAAATCTTTCTTTGCAGCTGCCCAGTTGTTTTGCTGCTACTTCAACTAAGTTTGTGTTGAGCTGTTTACCCTCCACGACTTTAAAATAAAATTCTTCTCCAGGTTATGGCTCCTCCAGGACAATTCTGAACTCACTGCTCCTTGCCCATGATCTTGCCTTTGCCTGTGCTGGAGAACCAGGCCTGCAGCCAGGTTCCCATGCAAGCCAAACACCCTGGATCCTTCACTCTTTGCCATGCCAACCGTTTTTGTTGCCTGCAAACATCAGCAATCTTTTTGTGTTTGTTTCCTTTTGGTTGTTGTGCAACACTTCCTTCACTGCACCTCGTGTGAAATGCTTTTGGATGACCTGGAGATTGTTTAAGGATATTTTCAGAGCACCACAGAAAATACAACTGAATTCTGCTCATCAGATGCTGCTCTTGCTTCCACCTCTTATTTGGCCATAGAATATTGGAGCATGTTGGGATTAGAAAGAGATAATTTTAAGGGAAAAAAAAAAAAAAAGCAAAGGCCTGGAAATCTAAAGGTTAAATAGAGAAGTCTGAGAAACAGCTCACTGAAAATTACAGGTGCTGAGGGCAAAGCCTCTTTGCCAGCACAGCAGCAGCTGCCTGGAGTGTCAGGTCACAATCAGGCTGTAACAGAGCACTCAGGGAAGATAAACTCAGGGGGAAGAATAGGTTGGTTTGATAATAATTCCTTAAAATCATGTTGCTTTGCTTCAGTTAAGTCCTGTCCTTTTGTCCTTTAGGGGAATTCTTTATCAGCTTCTCCACAGTTTTGCCCAGGTGTTTGTAGCACTCATGTTTGTCCTGGCAAAACTTGTGCATTTCTTCAGTGTTTCCTCAGTCGAGTAGATAATTAAAAATAAACATCAGCAAACCAAACATTGACTTAGCATTTTTGTTTCAGGCTGTCAGAATCTATTAAAAAAATACTAATATCCAGTAGTAGAGTAGTAGTAGAGCACCTTGTAGTATATTGGTACACAAATACTATCCCAGGAAGTAGCATATATTTGCTAATTGAGTATGTTTGAAATTTGGCAATCATACATTTCTCATTAAAGCCTAAATATTTTTAAAAATAGCCTTTTTATGCTCTCTGTTCAGGTTTTTATTTTATAACTCAGTAATGAGGCTGGTATTTGGATTTCAAATGTCTGAGTTGTGTTGGGTGTCTGTGACTTCTTGGGATATCTTGTTTGCTTTTCACTGATTTCAGGAACCATAGAAATTTCGGGTCAAGGATGTTGTAATGGGCAATTTTCTCATTTTCTTGTGAATGGGACAGTTCTGCAAGTATAGAATGGGATGAAACTCTGCAAGAATGGAATAGGCTGCAAGTTTTGGAATAAACCCTGTCCTTTTTGGAGCCCAGTGCCTGCACACATTCCCTTATCTTCTCACACCCAGCTGCACAGTCCATATCCTGTGTCTGTAGTTAAAGTTCCAGTTCTTTCAGCTGGGTTTTCCCCAGCTATAACCCAGGCTGGGGCACATTTGAAGAGCAGCTGGGGGTGATGCTGTCCCGGTCCAGCTGTCCCTTTTTGCAGGCTGTGGTGGCTGCCTGGGGTGGGTTGGGATGTGGCTTTGCATCCAGCTGTGTTCACATCTGTTTCTCCCTTGTTGTGCAGTGGATAGAGAAGGTGATTGGGTGGCTCAGCAGGGTGTTCCTGCAGGATGGTCCCCTGGCTCAGTCCTCCCCAGAAGCCAGCAGCACCCTGAAGCGCTGGCGCTGCCATGTCCAGAGGTTCTTCTACCGCATCTACGCCAGCATGCGCATCGAGGAGCTCTTCAGCATCATCCGAGGTGCTTCACCCTTGGGCTGGGACTGGGTGGCTGAGAGATGTCTCTGATGTGCCACACTGCCTGCCCCTGCCTCCCCTCACAGCCTGCCTCTGCTCCTGATCGCTGCTTGGTTTGCAGATTTCCCAGAGTCAAAGCCTGCTGTAGAGGATCTCAAGTTCTGCCTGGAAAGGACTAACCAGAGGCAGCAGCTGCTCAGCTCCCTGAAAAGTGCTCTGGAAATGAGACTTCTGCACCCTGGTGGGTTTTACATCCCTGGCTGTGTCCTGACACTGTGAGGAGCCTGGGCACGAGTGGGGATCTACTTGGAGCTGGTCTGGTTTCCTGTTGGAGGAGTGAGGGGCAGTCACTGTGCCCATCACACATTCTTTGTGTTCCAGTGGGCAGGGCAGCAGCTGATGATATCCCAGCCCCCTTTGGCCTCATTTTTACACTATGGTCAGGAGCACAAAGTTTAGCTTTGGCCCAGGTGGGCAAAGGCTTCTTTGCACTGTCAGGGCTCAGCTCTGAGCCTCTGTTGGTGCTCAGAACTGTTTTCTCAGGCACATGGATCTGATCTGCCCCATTGCCTTGGGCAGTAGAACAGCAAACCCTCTTCCTTCCACACCTCAGATAGAACAGAGGGCTTGGACCATTCAAACCCCTTCTATCCAAGCCATTATTCTGTGCTGCAGGACTCTGACTCCCTCTGCTCCTCTCCTGTAGGAGTCAACACCTCCGACATCATCACTCTGTATATCTCAGCCATCAAGGCCCTGCGGGAGCTGGACCCTTCCATGGTTATCCTGGAGGTGGCCTGTGAGCCCATCAGGAAGTACCTGAGGTAGGAGGCGTGTGGGGCAGTCTGACACGTGCCCTTTCCCTCCCCTTCCCTCACTTGCTCCATTTCCATTTCCATGGCAGGACTCGGGAGGACACGGTGCGGCAGATCGTGGCTGGCCTCACGGGGGATGCTGAGGGCTCGGGTGACCTGGCAAATGAGCTCTCCAAAGCTGACCCAGTGACCCTGGAGAACGGCCAGGAGAGTGATGATGACATCTCAGAGCCAGGGGACTGGGTTCCTGACCCAGTCGATGCAGATCCAGGTGAGATGCCAAGCCCAGCAGTCCTGGAAGGCAGCTGGTTTCCCTGCTGGCCTTGAGCAGCTCATTTGCTGGTCCTCTGGAGCTGGGCTGGGGCAGGTCCCTGTTCACGTCACACTGTTGTCTGCTGGATTCCACCAGGGAAATCGAGCTCCAAGCGTCGCTCCTCAGACATCATCAGCCTCCTGGTGAGCATCTACGGCAGCAAGGACCTGTTCATCAACGAGTACCGCACGCTGCTGGCTGACCGACTGCTGCACCAGTTCAACTACAGTGCTGAGAGGTGAGGCTGCAGTGCCCACAGCCAGGGCTGCCATGCCAAAATCACCTGAGGTTTCTTTTACCTGCCAAGTAAAAGGGTAGAGCCTTCAGACTCAGTCCTGTCAACGGCTGTTTGTGAAGCCAGGAGTGCCTTTTGCTATTTCCTTTGCAGCTTTGAGTTTGCCTCTAGAATTCCTTGCTCAGTCCTGCCCTTGCCTTGTGCTGATAGAGCAGCATATAGGAATTTGGAGGCACTGACACGCTCTTAGCTTCATTCCATGTGTTGTGATGGCCCCCCTTCTGAAACACAGAAGGTTCCACCTGAGCATGAGGAAGAACTTCGCTGTCAGGTGACTGAGTAGTGAAACAGGAGCCCAGAGAGGCTGCGGGAGTTATTCCAAACCCATCTGGAACAACCCTGAATGACTGCTCCAGGGGATCCTGCTTGAGCAGGGAGGTGGAACTAGATGAGCTCCAGTGCTTCCTTCCAGCCTGAACCATTCTGGGATTCTGTCTTCAAAAAGCTGCTGGCCTAGAGGAGATGGCTTGGGTACCAGGAGCCATCCTGGGCAGACACTGTGCCTTGCAAGGCATCCTAGGAAGAGCACCCTTGTGCCAAGAACTTCCTTTTTTGTCTATGTGGTGAAGAGGGGAGGCCAAGCCAGGTTTGTCCATCCAAGGGCCCTGTGCCTGACCTTCTGTGTCTCTCTCCAGGGAAATCCGCAACGTGGAGCTGCTGAAGCTGAGGTTTGGTGAAGCTCAGATGCACTACTGTGAAGTCATGTTAAAAGTAACTCCTTTTATTTTTTTAATTCAAGACCTGGGTGTTTGAGCCCATTGAGGAAGGGGAGGGACTTGAGGAGTCACCCCAAAACGGTCTTTTAGGAAAGTGGGCATTCCAGAATGCCAGTGAGGGGCTGATTTGTGACAGGCAGAAGTGCATTTAAATCATGCCTGGTTTTAAGCTCTGAAAGTTGGATTATCAGCTCTGGGGAATGGTTGCTCTGGTGCTGCTGTCTCTCCTGCCATTCCTGTAGTATCCTGGCACTGAAGAGCTGGGCTCATCCAGCTCCTCTGGGGTTGGGACTCTGGAGTTTGATTCTTTTGGAGCACTCTAGGAAGGCGTGGTGGGCCTTCAGTGAAGACGGTGTTGAGTTGTAACCCCTTCCTCTAACATCCCACAAATTTTTCTGAGTATGTAGCAGACTTCCAAGTAGACACACATGATTATGTCCTTTCCAGTGTCCCCATCATGGTTTGGAGAGAACAGTGTTCACCTGGTTTAAGCCTGTCCTTCACTAATGGTTAGCACTGACTCTGAAGGGAAGGAGCCACCCCAGCCTCCTCTGCCTGTTGCAGGACATGGCCGACTCGCGGCGCATTAACGCCAACATTCGGGACGAGGAGGAGAAGCTCCCTGAGGAGGAGAGGCCTCCCTTCAGCCTCGTGGCTGTGATCCTGTCCAGTGAATTCTGGCCACCACTCAAAGAGGAGAAGCTGGAGCTTCCAGAGCAGGTCAAGGAAGCCATGGAAGCATATTCCAAGAAGTATGAGAAATTAAAGGTGAGCCCACCTTAACCCTCCTTATGAAAGCTTTATCCAGTCCACTTTAGCTGCTGATTGACCCACACTGTTACAGTGGTTTGCAATAACCCAGCACTTCGTGGTTCCTGCTGGGAGATCTGCTGTGAGCAGCTGCTTCCACCTTTTCCCAGGCCATGAGGACCCTGAACTGGAAGTACCACCTGGGGCTGGTGAGCCTGGATGTGGAGCTGGCTGATCGCACGCTCTCGCTGTCCGTGTCTCCTGTGCACGCTGCCATCATCCTGCACTTCCAGACCAAGAGTGAGTGCTGGGAAACCCCTTCTGTGCATCCATGGGTGGGAAATCCACATTCCTTGGGCACCTGGAGGCTCTGAGAGCTCTGGCAGGAGGACCAAGACGTGGTGCATGAGTTTGGATCTCCCACAGGGTCTCCAGCACCCAGCAGGGCCACGGCTCTGCACCCCTGTGCTTGTTCCTGGCAGTGCCTCCCCTGCCTTACCGAGCTTCCTGACAAATCCTGGCAGGCTCGGGTGTGGGAAGTGTCCTGTTCTCCATCTCCTCTCTGTTCTCCATGGTCTCTGCAGGCACCTGGACGCTGACAGAGCTGAGTGAAGTGCTCAAGGTGCCCGTGACGTCTCTGAAGAGGAAGATGACACTGTGGCTGCAGCAGGGAGTCCTGCGGGAAGAGCCCGAGGGCACCTTCACCGTCATTGAGGAGGAGCAGAAGGACCAGGTGGAGAAGGTTGTTCTGATTGACAGTGACGAGGAGGGGGACTCTGCCATGGCCTCACAGGCTGACCAGAAGGAGGAGGAGCTGCAGGTACCTGTCCCTGTGGAGATGCAAACATCCTGTATTTTGGGTTTGGGGAATCTGATCAAGATTATTAATTCAATTTGCACTGTGGATTCATATTTTCCACTGCAAGTGGCTGAGTCCAGCACAAACATTTGGGTTTTGAAGTGGGTATCTCTTGGTTAATCTCTTGGTGCTGGATCACAGCCTTTCTTCCAGACAAGTGCCCAGCTGCTGAGTCAGGGATCCATTTGGAAATCTCCAGATTGGTTTTTTCAGTTTAAAAAAAAAAAAAGTCCGAGACATGATTTCATATTTGAAAATAGTCATGACTTACTTGGATGCACCCGAGCAACACTTTTTGGCACTTCTGACTGCCCAAAAAACTTATCCAGCACTAACAGCTGGATCTCTGCCTTCTCTCTGTTGTGGTTCCTGGACATTTCCAGTGCCTTTCCTGCCTGTGAGTCACACTGTGTGTGTGTGTGTGTGTGTGTGTTGTGCAACACAGCATTGTCATACTGGTGTTCATCCACAGAGGGTCATGCGTGTGCTGCACGTCAGATCCCACTGTCTGACCCTGTGTCCCTGCACTTTGCTGCTGTTCTTGGAATGCCCTGTTTAAAGGCCCCACACTCATGGCTGGGAGCAGAACTTATTGCCAGCTACATTCCTGCCTTGTTTTTGGGGTATTTGCTTTATGCTGTAGTGTCAGTCATTCACTGTGACCTGTCCCTTGCAGCTATTCTGGACGTATATCCAGGCCATGCTGACCAACCTGGAGAGCCTGTCCCTGGAGAGGATTCACAGCATGCTCAAGATGTTTGTGATGACCGGCCCCGTGGTCACTGAGATCGATATCCAGGAGCTGCAGGGATTCCTGCAGAAGAAGGTCCGGGACCAGCAGCTCATCTACTCGGGGGGTGTCTATCGCCTGCCCAAGAACTGCAATTAAAGAGCTCACCTGAGTGTCCCTGCCCCCCTGGGCACTCCTGCCTGTGCCTGAGCTCTGTTCCAGAGTGCCACCAGCTCTCAGTGTCCTGCTGGGGGGGTTTTCTGTCCTGGGGGTTTGCTGTACCCCCTTCCCCATACAGGTGTCACTTTCCACATGGAGGCAACTCACCAGCAGCCTGGACACCCCGCAATGTCTGGGTCTGCCCCCACATTCTTTCCTACCCTACATCAGTGCCTGGGCCCACCTCCCTGGTTAATAAATAACTGTAGGCTCCTTTTTCCAATGGTGCCAACTCTTTTTTCTTTCCTCTTGGCACCTCTCCATGCTGGAAGGGCAGGCAGGAAACTCCCCAGTCTGCCAGGCACCGTCCCCCTTTCCTTGGGTCTCCATGTGCAGCCCCAGGAAGTTTTGGGAGGGGGCTGATGGCTCCAGCTGCTGTCTGGGGCTCTGTGTGTGGCTAAAGCAGTGCCTTGCAGATGGATGTGATGAGTGAGACCCTGCCCAAAACCAAGGCTTGGTGCTGTCTCTGACGGAGGGAACAACTGCAGGGTGCCCTTGTTTGGGATTCTTAAATTGTGTGGAATCATTTTATTGTGGGATGAAGAATGCTTTAGATGGATGAGATGCAGCAGTTCTTCAGGGCAAACTGGTTAGTCCTGGGGAGGTGCAGTGGATTATCCAGGCCTGGTGGGATTGCTTTGCCCTGGCACAGGTACCTGTCTGTGTCCCAGCACCACAGGGCTGCCCTCGGGGACGGTGTCCTGGGAGCCTTCAGAGTTGTTGGCACCACACGAGGAAATTGGGTGGGACAATCCCAGAGCTCCTGGTTAGACACTGTGCCCCCCACCCAGCTATGGAGCAGTTTCAGGATTGTATCACATCCCCACTCCAAAACCCACGTGGGTTTTGTTCATCAGGAGGAATATGCTGGGAAAATCTGGCTTTTACTAAAAATATGTTTTCTGTGAAGCAATGAGTTTCCACAGAGTCTTTCTCCTCCTCTGCTGAATCTTCAGTCCCAGTCTGTGAGTGCTGTGGCAGCTGGAATTGAGACTTCACAGAGCCACAGGTAAGACATGGGAGCAGCTGTGAGTGTGCCCTCCCATCCAGGTGTGTGTGAGACCTGTGGAACATAGAAATCAGCCCCCATTTAACACTGAACCTTGTTTTTCAGTGCCTAAAGCCCACGAGTCCCTGTGGCATCCCTCCTGCAGCTGCAGGCAGCAGGGTGCAGCAGGGTGCAGCAGTCTCTCCCCCTTGGGCACGTTGGTGTTTTCCTCTGTGAGTAAAGCACAATTTCTTGATCCCCCTGGGGCACTTTGCTCCAGGCTGGCAGCCATGTGGCACTGGAAACCTGGTGCATCTTTGAAGGTTCTTTGTGCTGAAGAGGATCTGGTGATAACTGAATAAACCCCAGTCTGTGATTACGTCAGATAAAGCCAAAAAAACCCCAAAGAGCAGCAAATCCACCATGGCATCAGCAGGGAAAGGATGGACATCCATTCCTGAGTTCTAAGGAACCTTTCCCTTTCCTTCTCTCTCGACTCTCACCTCTCTCCACTTTTTTCTTTTTTCTTTATTGTATTTTATTTTTTTTCTTGAAAGAACACAGCACATGGAAGGATGTGGAAGGGCTGGCAGTGGGGGTCAGTGGGGTCAGTGCCTGCCAGCCCAGGATGTGCCAGAGTGTCTGGGGTGTGCCAGCCCCATCCCACAGAGTGTCCCAAGGAGTGTCTGGGTGTGCTGTGGCTGTGACGGGGCAGCAAAGAGGCTCCTTTTGATGTGGGGAGATGAAAGGAGCTGCCAGTTTGGAGCAGAGCTGGCAGCAGGGCTGTCCCCACACACCACAGAGCCACTGCTGGGACATGGCCCAGGGTGACTCAGGGCCTTGGCTGTGTCTGCTTTGCTTATGGATGCAAAAATATTGATTTATTTACGTGTTGTGCAGGTGGATTTATTGCTCTGTCGTGCTTCCTCACCCGCAGTGCAGGGGCTGTGGGGCACTGAGTGTTCCTGTACCCCATCCCAGCAGCGTTCTCAGACTCTGGGATGAGATGAGGGACACTCCAGCCCTTCCCAAAGCCATGGCTGTGCCCTGGAAGGGCAGGGGATGAGCATCATTCCCATCCTGCCTTTTCCCAGCTCTTTCATGCTGCCCCAAGGGCTGGACCCATGGGGTGTGATGAGTTTGTCCATCCTGAGCCAGAGGATGAGCAATGCCACCACTGAGGGGACCTGGAGTCACCTCTCTGCCCATGGGAGGTCCCGGCCTGGTGGAGCCAGAGCCACCAGCTGAGCTGTGCTGTGGTTGTTTCAAAGTGTTACAACAGGAAAAATTCTGGTTTAATGACTGTTTCAGCCTTCATGCAATATAAAAGTTAATTGAAACAAGCTGGAAATGTGATTTTTTTTTCAGAGTGAACAGAGGAAGCTGGTGGGGAAAAAAGAGCTTTGTGCTGTTCCCTGTGCCACTTGCTGTGCAGCCTTGTTGCCTCAGGCTGGAGCTGTGTCTGCTGGCCAGGGCAGTCCCTGTCCCAGGCTGTCACCTATGCAAATCACTCCCACTCCAGAGGAAAGAAAGAAAGAAACGTATTTATAGCTCAAAAATGCGCATAAAATCATGGAACCATAGACTCACAGAATGGCTTGGGTTGGAAAGGACCTTAGAGCTCATCTCATTCCACCCCCTTCCATGGGCAGGGACACCTTCCACGAGCCCAGGTTGCTCCAAGCCTGTCCAGCCTGACCTTGGACACTTCTTTACTCCTTGGATGCTTGGGAATGGCTCCAGTTCTTTGGGTGTGTTACAGAGCCCTTGGTGGATGATACAGACCCTGCTGTGGCCCTTGGGAAGGTATTAGAGTGATTTTCTCCAGTCTCCACTTGTGACACGAGGTGCTATTGATGTCCTGGGGATGCTGGTGGTGGGACACTGTTGGTGACAGCAGGAATGCTGCAGGCACTTGCTGCTCTCCATATTATTTCCCACATTTTCCATTTTTTTTCCAAATGTATCCCTTCTGCTTTCCAAAGCCACAGGCTTCCCAGGTGTAGCAGTGCTGGTCCCTGTCCCCTCCCACTGCCTGCTGCTGGGCCTGGATGTGCCTCATGGCATGGCCATGACCTTCCTTTGGCCCCACAGATGAGGGGCTTAACCTGCAAAACCCATTTTTCTTTGATTTTGCCTCTTCTGTGTTTTAGCGAGGTAGGGATGGAGCTCAGCTGGAGGAGAAAGAAGCAGCAGATTCAACTTGGATTTTAGGAGTGGTCATCTGACCCAGCACCCCCTGAATGGCTTGAAAACAAGAAATGAGATAAAAATCCTCTGCCACAGAGCACTCCCCTCATTTACCTTGGTCTATTTATAAACTGTTTGGAAGGGTCACGATAACCCAGGCAGGATGCGGGGGACATTCCCCAGCCCAGGATAAACTGTTTGGGTTATTTTGGACGTGTTAAAGCTGCTCACAGAGGCTGGAAATTTTTGCTAAGAATGAGATTGGGAAGAGTGAGGGGTCTGGCTTGATGGCCCCAAGAATGCATCCAAGGAATTTAGGATTCAGGAGGGCTGATGGTTCAGGGCGAGCCCGGGGATCAGCAGCAGCAATTCGGGACAGATCAACACAAGGTGAGTGATGTAAAAGGGAAAAAATCCACCCACCAGCCCAGTCCAGAGCTGATGTGGCCATGGAGCTGGGGGAGGGGGTCACACTGCGAAAGGACAAATCAATATTTGCAAAAAATATCTTTGGGTCCAGGAATGACCATCCAGGGCTGGATTCTGTACCCCTGCCAGGGGCTGCTGACTCTCCCTGTGTGGGTCCTGCCCACTCTGGATCAGATTATTTAATGATATTCTTTTATTTTTCCCTGTCTGGGGCTGCAGGAGAGGCTGGCTCCAAGGTCAGTGCCCATGGGGGTCCTCGGGGGTTTCTGTGTCCCAACCCTGGCCTCATTTCCCCTTTTCCACTTGCAGCCTCTTACTTTTAGTTTCAGGGCTCCCTGCCTGCTGCAGGCTTTACATCCATGGGCCATGATCTCTACATTCATTTTCTTGCTGGTTCTAAGCCCGTGACCTTTTGAGCTGCTTTTAATTTCTTTTTTTTTAATCAGTTTTCTTTTTTTTTGCAGAGTTTCTCTGGGCAAGGCCAGTGCTGCAAGTACAGCACACTTCATCCTGGAGCTGCTGGGTCTCACTCTGGACCCATTCTGAGCTCTGAGCACCCCACAGCTTCCCCAAAGGGACCCTGGGTGCTTCATTCACCTCATACTGGTTTCCTGGGGTGCAGAGGGGGAGATGCCTGTGTCTGGGATGCAGCTGCTGCTCCTCAGCCCTAGAAATGTTCTGGCTAAACAGGCAATGTGCAAAAACTTGAAGGAAAGCTCTAAAATTGTCACCTATGTTGGTGCCACCCGAGCTCCAGCAATGCCTCCTGGTGGGCACCAAACCCAGAGGTGCCCAAAGCAGTGAGTACCAGTCACAGGCTGGTACCAAAATCTCGGCTCAGGGCACTGTCCCCCTCTCCCTGGGACATTCTCTGCTCTCTCTCCGTGTGGGAGAGGCTGTGTTTGTGCAGGATTTGCATCCGTGGCTGCAGGAAGGGCTGTGGCACCTCTCGTCCCCATCCTGGCCCCAAACCCATTTCCTCCCCGCGGGGCCCTGTTCGGGGGGTGGCCTTGGCACCTGCAGGACACGGGGGACAGGGCTGGTGGCCCCGAGGCTCTAGGGGACAGGGCTGGTGGTCCAAATTTGCCCCCACATGGCCCCTCCATGCACTGTCCCCCCATTGCACTGCCCTGATGCCCCCGTGTGCCCCCCAAGGCACAGCTCCCCCATGGACACAGCCCACACATCCCTCACCTGCAGGCAGCCCTCTCATGGCAGTGAGAAAAAAACATTACTTCTGTACCTGCATGCCCCCCCACTCAGTGTGTCCCCTCCCCACAGGACACAGCAGTTTGCCCCCTCCAATTTGGGGTGCTGGAGGTCCCCAAAGCCCCGTGGGGGAAAGGGGGACACACAGCCCCCACACCAGGGCCGGGGCAGCTCAAGGGGATATTTGGGCTGGGAACATAAGCAGGTTTTCCATCATCCTGTCCCCACAGGGATCTGACACCTCCTGGTGTCAATGTCCCTGCCCTCCCCAGGTGCTCTCCCGCATTTTGTGGTGGCCGCTCCAGACCCAAACTGTGATTTTGGAGTTGGTAGCAACACCAGGACAGTGTCCCCAGCCCTGCATCAGCTTGTCTCCTGTATGGCCCCTCCATGGCTGGCAGTGGCTGAGCTGCCACTCAGATCCTCATCCCCAGGTGCCATCCAGCTCCACCAGCACCACGGGGGTCCCAGGCAGGTCAGTCCCACGTCCCCACTGTCACCAGGATCTCATCACCCTCTGCTCCAGCAATGCTCTCTGTGTGCAGCTCAGGAGGGGTTTAGAATCCCCCTGTGCATCTTCCACCCTCCCTGGGTTTCCTGCTGTGTTCTGGGGGTTTTCTGTCCCCCTCATTACCCCAGCAGCCCATGGAGTGTTGAAATGGCTCAAACTCCTTCCCACTTAGAGCAGAACAATTTTTGTTGGGCTGTTGATGTTCACTGGCAGCCCTTGAGGGGGGTGGCAGCTTATTGCTTCTCTAATGTTGAATATTTCAGAGCTTTGAGGGGCACAGTGTTTTGGGGGTTTTTAATGGTTGCCAACTGCTCTGCTTGGGAGAAGCTCTTCCTTCTCAAAAACCTGAATTAGCCAGAAGAGCATCTCTCTTCATGGCTGCTCCCAAAACTCCTGCCAAGCTCCTCTTAATGGGATCTCTGCTTTGGGTCAGCCCTGCCCGGCTTCCTGACCCCGAGGGCAGCTCCCAGCTGCAGAATGTCAGCTTCAGCTGGGCCCCTGTGCCTTCGTGACACAGAAATCCCCACATTTGCAAGGATTTGCCAGGCAAATCCCACTGGCCACAGCAGAGGTACGTGCTGCCTGGCACAGGGCTGGGGAGACTTGCTCCCCTGAGGTGGAGGGGAATAGCGTGCATCACAGCACCAAAACCCATCAGATTCGGGCGGTTTTCCCCCTTATTTTTGGTCCTGTGCAGCTGGGCTCCCAGGGTTACAGCTGAGGGCTATCAAACAGGAGTTTAAAATACCAGCAAGAGATCACATTGGGCTTCTCTGGCTTTACCAAATGGGCTTGTTTGTGGGGGAAAAGCCTTGGCCAGGTTGTGCGAGTGCAGGTGAGACGTGGGACTTGCCAGGGTGTTCATCAGGGCTGACGGCAAGGGGAATGCAGTGAGGAGGAACCGCCGTGATGAACTTTTGTATTGCTGGATGAGGAAAACCCTCACTGCTTCCTGCTCTGAAGGGATGGAGCGGTTTTCCCCGGGGAGTTTTTGTGCCCACACCAGAACCTGGTCCCACGGCCGCTGTGCAGCCTTGACCTGGCTGTCCCCATGTCCCCATGTCCTCCCCGTGCTGTTTGGACAGAGCAGCCAAGGGGCCGAGAGCTGCAGGAGGGCTGGGGGCAGCAGAGCAGGAGTGGCTGCAGCCAGGACCTGCCCAGGGTCCATCCAGCTACTCTGGACTTGCTGTTTTTTCCAGACTCATTCTTTTTTATGGACTCACTCCTTCCCCCCAGACTGACTCGGTTTTCTCCCTCTTTCTCCTGTAGGCAAGGGGAAGCACCCAAACACCGCCTCAGCCCCGGTTAACCCCTCTGGGCAGCGTCACCGCTTTGACCTTTAGGGTGGCGGGTTCCGGGCTAGTGACTAAGGCCGGACCCGCCGCAGGGTGGGGATGTTTAGCCCGGGCTCTCGGCACCGTGCGGGTGATGAGCTCACCCCGCTGCCCCGTCCCGGCCGTGTTGGCTCGCACGGTGACGGCAGCGCCGGGGAGGGCTCAGGGCAGGAGGGGGACACGGAACCGGCCATCCCATGGCACGGCGAGAAGGAAGTGCCGCCCAGGGCCACTCCTCCTCACCATTTCCTCTCCTGGTTTCTGTACGGATGAGAGCGGAGATAGAGGAGCTGCCGGCCCGTCCGAGGCCGGAGGCTGCGGAGAGAAGCGGCGGTGGCCGGCGCCGAGGGGACACCGCGGGTAACTGCGCTGCCATCGGCTCCCCGTCCTGCTGCCCATCCCCAGGGGTCACCAAGGCACCCCAGGGCTGCTTCCAGCTCCATCCCTGCCACCGCCTCCTGCTCGTCCCCAGCCGCTCCTTTCCACCAAAAACCGCCTCGGTTTTTCAGGGATGCTCCAGCTCCCGATGGTTTGGGATGCTTCAGGCTCTTCTCTCCGCTTGCTGTCCTTCCCCTCGGACTTGGCTTTGGGGCTTTGGGGCCTGGCAAACCTTGGGGCTGGGCTGGTGGGGTTTGGTGGCGAACAGGCTGTCGGGGGAGTTCTGCTGCCTGTCACTCTTGTCACCGCTGTCACCCTTGTCACCGCTATGACCCTGCGCCGTGTGCTCGGGGAGGGTGGGTGCCTGCACCCGCCGTGAGTCAGACCGAGCTCGGACCGTGAATCGAACCCAGCTCCGGCCGTGGGTCGAGCCCAGCTCCGGCCGTGGGTCGAACCCCGTTCCTCCGCTCGTTCCCAGACGGGGCCCCGGGCAGAGCAGCTCGGGATGCCGGGGCTGTGCTGGCCCTGCCGACATTGCGGGTTTGGTTTCTCCTCCCAGCCCTGACCCCTTCATCTGCAGCTCCCACAGCAAGGGGCTGCTTTGTACCTTCCACCATCCCTTTTGGATGGAGGGTTTGGCTCCAGCTGGGGGTGGGGGGATATCAATCTTCAGGATTTTCCAGGTTTTCCTAGCAGCTTTGCTCATGCAGAGGGGCTGAGTTCGGGGTGCAGCCTCTCCAGTCGAGGGTACTTTTACCAAGACCACGGTTCTCCGCTGGCCTCTGCTGCCACCAGGGGTTTTGCCGCCTGTCCAGGGTCTGGTCCCATCCTGCTCCCCTCTCCCAGGCTGCCTCCAGCTGCCCACACAGGCTCCTCTGTTGTGGAAACGTTGTTTTGGATTTGCAGGGTGCACGAATGCAAACACTGCAAGAGCTACAGCAGGAGAGCTGGAGGCTTCCCAGGAGTGTTTCCAAGTGTGAGTTTTCCTGCTGTGTCCGAGCTCGGGACAGAACAGTGATCAGCAGTGTTTACACGAGCACTGGGATGCTGCAGACTGAATTCCCGGTTTCTCTTTCCTGTTGTTTTCACCAAATATTAAATTAAGCTGCCGAAAGTGCATCACTGCAGGCTGGCACAGCCTCCTGCCCAGCCCTGACCCGACGCTGGGTGTGCAGGGACTGCTCTTAGAAACTTCCAGTCCTGTAAATACCAGCAGGTATTAGGGACTGAGTCATGGCATTAACAGGATTATTATATTTGTGACTGGACAGATTCCTTGCTCAGGATGGGGTTTTGTCCTTCCCCCCTGCCTTGCTTGGCTCTTTTGGAGGGCTGGGCATCCCACAGTGGTGAGATGGATGTGCTGATGGGCTTTTGGGAAAGAGGATCTTGAACATCTCCAACTGGTGAGCACTCAGTCCTCACTATTCCCCACGGGTCTTGTAGGGGCTTCGGGCTCTCATGGCAGTGAGAGAGCAGGCTCTGGGCTGTGAGCAGCAAAATCGCTTCATGTTTCAGCTGCAGCAGCACCTGGCTGTGGCCTGGCAAGGTCCATGGGGAGTGCTTGGGGTGTCCCGTGTTTCCCTGCCAGGAGCAGCCTCCCAGGCTTGAAGGGAGCCTATGAAAAAGAGAGAGAGAAGATTTTAAGCAGGTCCTGTTATGACTGGACAAGAGGTGATGGTTTTAAAGTAGAAGAGAGTGGCTTTAGACTAGTTATAAGGAAGTTTCTGAGAATGAGGGTGGTGAAGCCCTGGCACGGGTTGCCCAGAGTGGCTGTCCCAATCTAGGCCAGATTGGAGGGAGCTTGGAGCAACCTGGGCTAGTGGGAGGTGAATGAGGTGGTCTTTGAAGGTTCCATCCAGCCATAACTATTCCACGATTCTGTGATCCTTCTGATCTCTAAACTTTTCCTGTAAATTTCCATAGCCTCTTCCCTGGCATTTAGCCAACTCCCTCTTCACCTGCAAAGGCTTGGGGCTGAGAAAACTTCACCCTGTGTTTGTGGAGATGTGTGGCAGTGCCTGGGGGGTTTTCTCATCCCTGGCTGAGCTCTATGGTGTTCCTGATCCCTTGAGTCCGTGCTGGTCTGAGCTGCAGCAGCTGCTCCCAGTGGCTTTGGAGACAATTGTCCCTTTGGGGACCTACAGGTGCTATGTGAGCAAGGCCATGCAGGATGGAGAGGAACAAAGGTGTGACTCCACGGTGGTGTGGAGACAGCCCAGGGCTCCCAGTGGCATCCTTTGGGTGGCATCGCAGTGATGGTGGCATCCAGCCCTTCTTCCTGGTGCTACCTCAGGGCCTCCTTGTCAGATCTTGTCTGGCTGGTTTTGCTTTTGCACACCAAACCCTGCATAGAGTCAGGAATTAGGTCAGCAATTAGCACTCGGGGTTAATTGCTGCACAGAGATGAAGACTGGATGCACATGGTCCCGAAATCAACTTGTGCAGGGAGTGGGAGTGAAGCTTTGCATTTCAGAGCAGCCAGGAAAGGTGTGGGGTGAAGCAAGGAGGCAGAGGGAACATTTCCAGTGCCTGTGGCTCCCACACAACCCCGGGGTGCCCAGGGGCTCGCTGGGTGACGGAGGCAGCTTTGTGCAGGGGAAGTAAAGCCTTGTCCAGAGCGTGACTTTGTGCGGGTTGGTGGCTTCCTGCTGAGCTGGAGCGAGTTAATAACAAACCTCCAGACCTCCTTGTTCTCTTCAGAGTGGTGCTTTTGGCAAGGCTCAGTGTTGATTTTTTAAGGATGGCTGATGAAAGTGGCTTTTCCTCATGCTGCCTGTGCTGGCTCCCTGCTCTGGGGCTGGCAGTGTCACAGCAGCAAACTGTCCCTTGTGTGAGCGCTGCTGCAGCCCAGAGGTGTCAGAAAATGCCCTCCCACCATGACACAGCTTCTGCCACCTCCGGCCTTGTGCCAGGCAGGGCCAGGGCAGCACGTGGAGGTGTCATGGGGCTGCATCCAACCCGGCAGAGCTGTGCTCTCCCAGGGGCTCCCTGCTCTGTCTGTCCCTCTGTCACATCCCTCTGGCCTCTCCTGCTCCTTGTTTGCCAGCTGAGCTTTGTCCATTCAGGTGGTTATCCCAGGATGACCACATCCCTGAGCTCTCCTGTGGAGCTCCAGGGTCTCATGTGTCACCCCCTGTGTCCCTCCCATGTCCAGGGGTGTGTGCGGGTGCCCAGGGCAGGGAAGGACAGGGGGGTGGCAGGGTTGGGGTTCAGTGGGGCTGCCCCCTCCTCTCCCCACAGCCATGTGCTGCTGACAGCTCAGGCACAGCCAAGCTGCTTCTCTGCAGCCCCTCTGAGCCTTCCCATCCAGGGGCAGCTTTCATCTCACCTCCCTGCCAGGCACATCCAGCAGCACAGCCAGGAAAATCCTCCCTGGGCGATGCCACCACAGCCAGGATGGCAACTACAGCAGGTTACTGCCACACCCCCAGACATGTCCGTGGGTGGACAAGCGACTTCCCACAGTGTGTGTACGTGCCTGTGTGCATGTGCTAGCACAGAGGTGGGGCTTTGTGTCTTCCTTAAATTTAGCAGGTGTAGGGAAAGAGGATTGGGCAGCTGTGGTTCAGAGCATGGGTCAGTCTGTCCTGCTGTCCTGCCTCCTTCTCACAGCAGAGCCTCTGGCTTTGGTCCCAGCCACCTCTGACCTTCCCTCCTGCATCTGAAGGCAGGGTTGGGCTTGTGTTATAACATCAATTTGCATTAATTGACACTGAATTTAATCTGTAGTTTTGCACATCTGTCCCATCTTCAGAAAGTCAGCTTAGGTCTGAAAATCTCTGCCACCTTGCCATTGCTGATTGCTGCAGGTTTCTGGCCTAATTCCACTGTTATTGGTCACTTCCTGATGTTAGGAAGGTTAATTTTATATAATTCCTTTTCTTTTTAGAAAGAAGATGATGTGAATGGGCTGTAAGAACCCGACGAGATGGAGGAAGCCCTGCCTTGCTCTGAGGTGGATGGAAAAAGTGTCCTCAGGGATCTGGGGATGGAGATGCCCTGCATGGAGAACAATCCCACAGGAGACACATCTGGAGCAGAGAAGGATGCAGGAGAGGTGCCCTGTGCTGAGTGCAGCACAAAAGAAGAGGCTCCTTGTGACCCAGGAATTGTCTTCACTGAGGGCAGCGTGGAAGGAGAGACGCTGGGCAGTGGCAGCGATGGGGAAGGGGAAATTCCTGGCAGTGGCAGTGACAGGGAAGGGGAGATTGCTGTCACCGACAGCGATGGGGAAGGGGAAATGCCCTGTGATGCAAAAGAAGAGGCGTCTTGCTCTGAGAGTGACGCAGAGGAAGTACCAGATGCTGTAATCCCTGCTGCTTCCAAGAAAATAACTTCTATTTCCTCTCCCTTACGGGCCATCGTCCGCCTGCGCCGGCGCTACCGCGGGCTGAAGAAAAGCCGCCTGCATTTAGAGCTGCCTCGGGAAAAGCCTGCAGAGTTTGTCCACACCAGGCTGCTTCAAAGGCAGCTGTCCCTGAACAGAACTTCCCTGTACAGCCCTTCCATGTCCTTCTTTAATCAGTCTGGCTTTGAGAGCTCCCAGTACTTCACCTTTGACACATCTGTGGAACATTACTCTCTGAAAAAGTGCAGGCGGAAAAAGAGCCGGAGGAAATCCAGGATGGTTCTGTACCCTGATAAAACAAAAAAATACCTCCCAGCAGAGGAGAAGAGCAAGGCAAAGCGCTGCCTCCTCTTGCTCATTGCCATTATCTTCTTCCAGATTCTCAATGCAATAGAGAACTTGGATGATAACCTCCAAAAATACGACCTCGATGCTTTGGAGAAAACCATGCACCGGGAAGTCTTTGGGCAGAAGGTTGCTGTGGAAAGTATTATGGAATTACTGAAAGATTATCTGGCTACCCACATCCACAACAAGCCTCTGGTGATCTCTCTGAATGGCCCAACAGGGGTTGGGAAGAGCCACGTTGGCTGGGTGCTGGCCAAGCATTTTCGCTCTGTCATGGACAATGACTTTGTGCTGCAATACTTTGTGATGCATCACTGCCCCAGCGGGGTGGCTCCCCTCACGTGTGAAATAGATCTGTCTAAGAAGATTTCTGACATGGTTACCAGGGCTGAAATAGAGGAAAAGACCCCAGTGTTTATTGTGGATGAGGTTGAGCTCATGTCCCCCATCCTGCTGGAAACTCTCAGCCGATTCTTTGAGCCCAATCAAACCAACGAGTTCCTCAATGCCATCTACATTTTAATAAGCAACCTGGGAGGTGCTGAAATCACAAAGTTCGTTCTCCAGAATGCATCCACTGAGCTCCTGCATCAGCAGCGGGGAGCTGAAGAGCTGCTGAGCATCCTCCAGCCAGCCCTGGTCAGTGTCCACCCTCTGTGGAAGGCTGCAGACATCATCCCCTTTGTCCTGCTGGAGAAGTCTCACGTCATCAACTGCTTCCTGGAGCAGATGAGGAGGGAGGGGCTCTATCCTGACCAGAAGCATATTGAAAATTTGGCAAATCAGCTCAGTTACTACACTACAGGGGAGAAGCAGTACTCCAGAATGGGCTGCAAGCAGGTTGTGGCCAAAGTCAACCTCCTGTAGGGATTTACTGCAGAGACCAAGCCCTGCTCTTGGGATTTGCAAAGTTCTGTGCTCATGAGGAGTGTGTTACAGCAGGCTGTGCTCAAGGTGTCCTTCCCCAGGCCTGCACTGGCTCTGCCCTGGTCCAGGCAGAGGGGTCACAGCCTGGACAACCTGGTCCCTGTTCTCCTCCAGAGACTTCACTTTTCCCTCATGTTCTGTGAAAAAGGAAGGACAAGGAAGTGGAGCCACCTCCCAAAGACTGCAAGATGCTTCATTCCTCACATTCTCATTTGGGATTCTTGTCATTAAGGAGCTTTGAGGTGCAAAAGCTGCAGGATATAAATAAGATGAAACAATCCCTGAGTCACTGGCCCTGCAGAATATGTCACCTCATGTATTTCACTCTCTCCAGGCTCACAACTCTTTGCTCTTCTTGGTCCTGGCTGGTGTGTGCAGGGCAGGGCTGGACACCTGGCACTGGGGCAGTTTGTGGCTCCTGTCCCCCCAAATGTGCAGGCCTGCCTTCCCCAGCTCCTACGTGACCACATCCTCTGCAGAACACTTTTTGGACCTGTTGCTCTTCTGAGCTCATTCCTGAGCTCACCTTTGGCACCTGCAGTGAGATTTCTGCCCTGCAGGTGTGTTTGGGCTCGCCTCAAAGACTGCTCATCTGTGCCAGATGGTGCAGAAATAACCTCTGGATTGTTTCAGGTCTGGTGGTGACACCTCATTCTCAGAGCTCTTCTGCTTTTTCCTTCTGGGGACTCGTCGTGGTCAGTCATTATCTAGAAACCCCAAGCAGCAATTGATGGATCTTGAGCAACACACACTGGAAAAGACAATTTGGGCTGATGGAGTGGGAACCCTGGGCTTGTTCCCCGTCCTGAGAGGCCAAGAAGAGGCTCTTGGCCACTGAGCCCCAGGTGAGATGAGGCCTGGGAGCAGCTTGGGAAGAGCACACAGCCATGTTTTGAGCAAAACTGAGCAGGTATTTATGGCATTGTTTTCTCAGGTTGTGGTTTTGTACAAGATTTCTACAGCTTGCTGTGAATTCCCAGACAAGAAACCCTGTGGATGTTTGCACTGGGGTTTTGATTCACCTCTTTCTAATTGTTGGTCTCCAAAGACTCTGTCACATACTCCAGCTTCCAGAGCTATTGTCAGGAATAAACCCAAACTACCCCGAATAAAAGAATTGAAAGTACATTTCTTTCATTTGATTGAAATGTGGATTTCCTCCCAGATTTCCCTTCTGGAGCCATGTGGCTGCACTGCCATGCCTGTGCTTCCCAGTGGCTCGGGTTGGGAGCAAGGCCAGAGCTTTGTGGTGTGTTTTTTGCAGCACCTCGATGCAGGGTGGGTGCAGCAGCTCCAGGTGTGCCCCTGCTGAGCCCAATCCCAAACCCACACAAGCAGCAGTGCCAAAGGCTGGGTGCTGCACAGCTCCTCCATCCAAGCCACCTCCTAAATTCAAGTGTCCTCAAAAACCAACATCTGGGAGCTGTTTTCACAGCTTAGAGAGCTTAACTTAAGCAGTAAGCTTAGCTTACTGCTAAGACATTTGGGATGCTTTTATCCTGGATAAGAAACCACTCAGGGACCAGGATTCCCTTCCTCCTACAGCTGGGAGAGGGGCAGATGTAAGTCCTGATTATTTCAACAATGTCTTTTGTTTATAAATGCCCACCCAGGGGGTGTTTGGTTGTGCCAGAGGTCCCTGGATGCCTCCACACCAACCATCACCTCTGCAAAAAGGGAGAGTGACTTTGAATGGAGCTGAGCATCTGCAGAGTTTGTTTCCATCCCTCTAAGACTGTCCTGCCCCCAGTCAGGGCTCCTAGCCATTTCTGAGTTTTCCTGAGTGCCCTGTGCACCTTGATGACCTGCCAAAGCCTTTGTGTCTCACAAAGCTCCTCTCAGTGCACAGAATGGGGCTCAGCTTCCTCCTGCATGAGACCCCACCCCATCCCTCAGCCTCTGGAGGCTCTTGTCAGACAGCAAAGGAACCTCCAGGCTATGGAGAAGACTTTTCCTGCCAGAAGATAGGATGCAGGACTCAAATCCCAGCTCAAATGGCTCTTTAGGTTGTCCCCAAAGGCTTCCTCAGTTGGCAAAAGCTCTTCCTGAGTCAGGACACATCTTTGTTGTGCTTGGAGCAGTGATTTGTGGCAGGGTGTGCTCCCACCCTGCTGCAGACTGTGTTTGATGCCCTGGATCAGCAATTCCAGCAGCACTGGGGTGGTTGTTCCTGTCACTGCTGGCTCGTGGGGACACAGGCAGGTACTCTGCACCCTGCAACTGCATCCCAAACCACAGTGGGGTTTGGACCAAACTCCCTTTTTGCATTTGCCCTGGGGAAAGTGCAGGGTGATTCCAAACAACTCTAGTGAGGATGATGCTGTTACTGCCCACGAGAGCAGGGCAGTGAAGGAGAAGAGGGAATAGGAAATAGTTCATGTCTTGAGAGCACAGACTGTGACCCCCCAGCCAGCTGCAGCTTCCCCAGGGCTGGGTTCAGGACAGGGGGTCCCGTGGGCAGGAGCTCACATTGCTCTGATGTGTGAGTTGGGAGGGGTTTGTTTTATTTCACACAGTGATTATGAAGTGCTGTCCCCAGGCCTGAGGGCTCGGAGCACTCTGGGCAGGGACCGGGGCTGGGGTTCCCAGGACACTCCTGCACCAGGGATGGGGGAGCATCACTGGGATGTGCCCTGTGCTCCTCCTTGGCCATGGCCCAGCTCCAGGCAGAGGAAGGTGGGTGGGTGCACGTTCTGCAGGAGCTCTGGATAACTTCAGCTGCCTAAGGGAGAAGAGCTTTGGATTTAAATATTCCTAAAAAGGACCTAATCCCCAGCAGCCTCCTTTAATCAAAGCAACCTGTCAGAAGCTGCCTCCAGAGGTGGGTGCTGGCTGGTGGGGCCAGCCTGGCTGCCAGGCTGAGTCCTCCTGGGATTTCCCTGCACCGGGGGAAGGTGAGATGACCCTGGAGCAGAGCTCTGTGTTCCACAGCACAGCATCACCCCAGCCTTGCCTGGTCCCTGAGTGCTGCTGGGGCTGCTGCCACTGCTGTGTGCCCACCCAGCAGGACTTGTCCTCTCTCCCGAGGCTTCTGTCTGGCCCTGAGGATCTGTGGTGTTGGCCCAGGGCACCTGAGCAGTGTTTGCAGAGAGAGGCCAATGAAGGGGTGCAGAGGGATCCCATCCCCATGTACACCAGTGACTTGTTCCTGTGCTCATGGCAAGGAAAAGCTGCTGCCAAGCCCTAGAAGGGATTTGTTCCTTTCCTTCCAGCTCCTGTGGTCACCACTAAACAGGTGAGGTGCCACCAGGAAAGCAGATTTTGGTCCCAGTGATGGCAGGGAAGATCAGGGCTGCAGCAGAGGAGAAAAGAGCAAGGACAGCCCAGGTAGGGCAGGACTGCAATTCCTCCAAGGGGGCAGAGGGAATGTCTGCACCATGCAGTGATGGGATGAGTCCTGGAAAGGTGGAGGGAGGACAAGCACCCCCTCTGCTTGGGAAGGAGGAGGAGGGACAGGCAAATACAGGAATGAATGCATTACCTGTGAGCATCCTGAAGAGATGGGAGAAATTACATCCAACATTTTTAAAAAATAGTTGTAACCATAGAATCTAGTTTCTTCCTCTTACAGGATACTCAGAGAATAGCTGTTAATAGTTACTGGGATGAACTGGAAAGAGTTTTCCAGAGCTGTGGAAACGAAATATTCCATAAATGGTGGGAGAACAGAATCAGACAGACAAAGGGGAAGGAGGGCTGAGAGGCACCCAAGCACTACAGGAGACAGGCTTGGGATGGAAATCATAAATTGGAGGAAAGGTCTGAAAGAAGGTGCTGCAGAGGAGGGTGGGGGTGAGCAAATGCACGTTCCAGGATGGGGAGGGTGAAGGGCTGGAAGGAAAACAAGCCTGGGGGCATCGCAGCACTCCCACTCGGCAGGAGGGATTACACCCCGGGGCCCGAGAATGGCAAACATCCATGGAAATGTATAAATATAGGTGTGTTACATATGCGAGGGATGAAGTAATGCCGGGCCACGCTGAAGCAGTGTGGCACCATATTTGGGCACCTCTGGGGCAGGGAGGGAGGCAGGGACACCCCGGTCCTGTGCCCCCCCAGCATCCTGCCGGGAACGGGAGCGCGCAACGGGAGCGGCGGAGCCCGGGCAGGAGTTTCAGGGAAGAGCGATAAGAGGTTTCAAATATGTAAAACACGGGCAGAAAGGAGACAGCGGTGCTTGGTTCTCCCTCCCTTCCTTGGCAGGGTGTGGGGCTGGTTGCGGAGAGTGAGGTTTATGTAAAACTTTGGGGAAATTGCTGGAGCTGTGGGCGGGCAGCACCGGAGTGGATGGAGGGAAGAGCTCCGGGACTCCGGGGGGTGCTTTGGTCACAGGACTCTGCTCAGGGCTCCCAGGAGGTCCCACTTTGCCTTTTCTCTGTCCCCGCTCCTGCCTGCCAAGGGTCCAGCTGGAATTTCCCCCTGCCCAGCGCTGAGCTGGCAGCGCTGAGCCGTCAGAGATTGCACCAATTTAACATCATTCCTCTGCAAGAGATGTGCTTCGGTCCCTAAAACACCTGGATTCAGGTGCGAAGTTTCGGGCAGCTGCATCTGGAAACTGCCAGCCTGGGGCAGGGGGGTGAGATCAGCGAGTCCCTGCTCAGATGGATTCATTTCCAGGTGGGATAGGTTGGAGGCACGGGGAGAGCAGCCAGCGCTGAAACCGGAGTGTGCAGATTAATGATGTAATAAACTAATTTAGAAACTCCTTTACTTCCCCTTGACACTTTCCCCTCGTCAATTCAATTTATCTGAATTATCGATATATATTGGGTATTATTTTAGGGTCTGTACCTAGAGCTACCTCAGGGGACTCGTATCCATCAGTGCCTGCAGAAGGAGCAGCCCTCCCCAGCACATTTTGCATTCTCCATTTGCAGATGTGGAGCTGCTGGTCTCTCCCTGTTTCCCTGGGCAGTGACAGCAGCCCCTGCTCCTCCTCCAGCTCTGGAGGTCACAGCAGAGCCCCCCACAGCTCCATGCAGGATACAAACAGCCCAGGATCTTCTCTGGATGCTAATTTGAGTTCTGTGCTTCCTGTGATGTCTTATCAGTTGATCCCTCAGGGTGGAATTCAGCTGCCCTAATTTTGGTAACTTGAGGAAGCCTGAGTAAGTCTGCCTGGGATTTCCCCATCCCTGCCTCCTGAAAAAGCCCAGGAACCCAGGCCTGGGAAAAAAACACCTGGAAAACTTCCCCTGAGGTGAGTGGACATTTTTGTGTCCATCAAGTGATATATAAAAGAATGTAAAGCATTAATTGCAGCCAAACCCTCTGTTTTCACCTGTACCTTTGCCCCTCTCCTGCTCCTGTCCAAATGTGCCTCACTGTCCAAATGCTCTCACTCAAACCACACCCATGTGGTATCTTTTCTGTTCTTCTGAGAAAAAAAAAAAGTTAAAAAAAATTTCAAAATTCTGCAAAAAGACATTGCCAGAATTTATGGTTTACTTTTAAACTCCCTGAGCCACCCAACACAATTTTTGTGCAGCAGTAGTTGCAGGTGTGACTGTGAAATTGAGGAATGCTGTGCTGCATTCCCACCCAGCCATGCCCAGCTGCCAGGTTTTCCAGAACTGTGGCTGCAGGAGTTTTTGCCCTCTCAGCTGGCACTACCTGGTGTTTTTATCCTGTGCTTTTCCTGCCATAGCAAGCACGCTGTCCAGTTTTCCCTGAGATGATTTCATACACCCCCTGTGGGATAAAGATCCCTGAGCCATGGGCTTGCCCTGCCTTCACTGAGAGCCTGCATCTCCCTGGGTGCCGTGGGGGCCTTGGAAAGGACTTCTGAGCTTTTCCTTCCAGGATAAGCTGGTCCTTGGCTCCAAGGCTGCTGCTTCTGTCTCCAAGTGAAGAAGTTCCTTGGGTTTGCTCCAGCTGTTCAGGATGATGGAATGAGCATTTCTGCCCCTCCCTGCACATCCTGCAGCTCAGACAGCACAAACAGCTCTGGATTCCTGGGTGGCTCGAGGTCAGAACACCATGCTGAGTGTTGCAGAACTCTTTGGCCTGATGTGACCTGGTGTCCTCAGCTCCATCTGTGCCGTGGCCTCCGTCACTTCCAGCTGCAAAAGCCACTCCTTGGTGCTTCCTTCTGCCAAACATCCAGCACTTCCAGCTCTGAGTGCTGC